GGTGATATTTTTTAATAGGTCGCTTAATTACGTCTTTAAGATTACAATGACGCTTTCAGAATCATGTTTGGTTGAAAATTAACGCTTGTACAGAGGCTTAAAGTTCATAACTTTTGGAGCCTCCGTTATAACAAATAGAATTGTGCGAAAACTATTGTACCTACAGCGCCCACTTTTGACATACTTTTAAAGTATGATAAAACCCTCAACTTGTTATAGGTTTTATAAAATTTTAACAATAAATGCGATAGTTATAAACAAATTAAAAAATGGTCACTTTCTTGTTTTTTTGCAATAACTTTTTTGTTTCTTAACTGATTTTAATTTAACAAGTCTCATTTTGTAGATAATTTTATTCCATACAAGCTGTCTGAGAGTCACTTTTCGCTAAAATTGATGGTTTTCCCTGCAAAGTGAAAAAATTGTTTCCTCACTTATTTGTTTAAATAGAAAAGTTAGCTAATAATTTTTTTTTACTCACGAGATGAGAGATGTCTCGTATTATGTTCCTTTAGACAATTTTACAATAATATCGGGCATAGGAATTTTTTCGAGTTTCTCTTTTTTTTCGCTAATTTTCCTGGTCTATAAGAGTAGAGCTATGTTGTTACTCCTAAGAGCTTCATGGAAGAAATATTATACTAATAGCGATCGGTGATGATGATATGGAAAAATAAGTGGGGGAATATATTCATTTTAATAGTCACTATACAGGTTAAGTGAGAAAGTTTTTATGCAATTTTATCATAAATAAAAAGAGAAAAGTACGCAAGATAAAAAATATGGGAGCACTAATAAGTATATTTTGCAACAACAGAAGAAAATACCATTTTTTTCATTTTTTCGTGAGTAAACTATTCACGAGCAACGGTCTAGCGACGAGTGGAGTAAGTTTATACACGAAAACTTATTTCATTTCGAATAGGAAGATAAACATAAATTTTAAGTTCAATTTAATTCAAAACAAATCGTTACAATGAAAATTATTGATTATTTGAGTTGCTTTTATAGTAAGTAACGTAATCATTTTTATCAAAGAATGTCATTAAGAAAATCAAAAATTTTACATCTTCATTTTCGTTTCTATAAGTTAAAAAATTATGTTCTAGAATTAAAAATTGTCACTCTCTATAAGTTCAATCGTGTCGTCCTCACTTTTACATATGAGTAGAAAAAAGGTGTTTTCTTAACCATTTCAAAAGTTATTTGAAGTGCAATAGGAAAATTTGAAACAGACATATGCTATACTGGGCGATTTAACCCATTTTATTTAATTGGATATCTTTTCTACTGATGCAATCACACGATTAAATATGAGAATACTTTGGTGCTTATACGATTGTGCTTTATTTTTTGATATTTCAAAAGAGTGTATTTGCTATTTTATGAAATTTTTCTAAACTGTTTGAAATTATTGTTAGCGTACGTGGTTGCAATAAATTTGATATATTTAATCAAATATCTGGCGTGCCTCAGGGTTCGATACTTGACCCACTGTTTTATACTTTCTTCATTAATGATATCGGGAGTAATTCTAATGTCCACTCTCAATCCTATTCGGTTTCGCTACAGATTGAGTGACCATGTGTTGGATAGACCAGGTTGTGTCAAGGATCTGATTATTATATTTGATGACGAAATAACATTTTCTGTGCATATTGCAGGGGCATATAAACATTTCGGTTTTATTTTCCGTAACAGTAAAAGCTTCAAAAAGATTTTCACTCCACGTATCCCATGTTGAAATATGCCTCTGTGGTTTGATCTCATTATACTTGTTATATAACATCATTAGAAAAGTGAAAAGGAGATTTATTAAATCGACAAGTTATTATCTTTTATTATAAATTGCTCGTTTTTTGTTTTTTTTTATAACTCTATATTTCTATTACTATTCTTTTTTTATTACTCTTATAATTTATGTACATATCTACGTATTATTTTGTTCTGTTTTTTGTTCATTAACAATTGTCTTTTTTTTAACATAATTCGTAGTTTTAATTGTACTTTTCTATTTTATAATTTTATTGTTACATAAACGTTATTTTTATTTTGTTTAGTATTTATTAACCGTATAATTGTGTTTCCTTCCAGTTGGACGAATTAAATAAAATAAATTAAATAATTAAACACAGCTTACCTAAGTTCTGGAAATTTCGTGCTTACGTAAGGGAAACTCTGATCGTCTGTAATATGCCAGTGGAAAACGTTCATTTTGTTGTAAGACATAGCGTCCAGCATTACAAGAATAATGTCCACTGGCATAAAATGTCTTGAAGTATCCAAAAGCAGACCGCGATGTGAAAATCGTGGCTGGTCCTTAATTTCTGTTAAATTGACCCTTAACTGAAAACAAATTAATTAAATGTTTCGATGTTTCAATTTTCTTCAAGCTAATTTACCGAAATTGTGTCATCTCCTAGATATATCAGTTGGGAAAATGTTTCTAGACCTCTCAGGATGCCCCAAATTGTAGGAGCCACCAATGCGGCGCCTTCTTCATTGATTGTTAAATTATCTGAAAACAATAATTCCCTTGTTAATTATTTTAATTATAAAAATCTGATGATAAAATATATCCAAAGATAGGAATTGATGACTATCGTACAAAAATGTTTGTGACATATACAATCTACGAAGAACGTCATATTTTGATTGTCAGTGCTACTGGACCAGGCTATAGTCCACAGAGTAGTTGTTTCTCAATTAAAAATCTTGTGAACTTATTTGTTGAAACGTTTCATTATTGTGTTTCTATTGTACAATGATTTAAATAATATGTACTTACATTTCTCATTTATGGCAGAAGTTGGATATTCACCATCTGTACAGCTTCCATCTAATTTAACATTCAATTTATCCAAGTACCCAAGGAAGTTTTCTTCGACTTGCCATTGCTTTTTATAAAGAAGGTGTTTGAAAAATGAAAAGCTTTTCTTGCCTCTATTGGACTCGGCTGCCAAGATTTTGTGATATCTACTAAAGGCATTTTGCAAAAAGTTGCACTGGTTGTCTGTTGTCAGCTAAAAACGTTGAACTAGAAATATTTTTCGTCTTTAGAGTTTATACAGGGTGAGCCATTAGTGTGAGAAAGTAAAACGCCAAATATTACATTTTTTAAATGGAACACTGTATATTTTTAAAGATATGGATTTCCAAGAAAATTCTATATATGGTAATATAAACAGTTTATCATTTTAGTGCGGGGTTGCCAAGTTATGTAGAAAATTCTTCGAATTTTGGAAAAAACCTGACCAATTAATTCAATTAATTGTTCTCTAAATTCCGTTGTTAAGTTATTGGTTATCATTATCAGTTTTTAAATACGATAAATACATTAATTCTCATTTATGGCAGAAGTTGGATATTCACCATCTGTACAGCTTCCATCTAATTTAACATTCAATTTATCCAAGTACCCAAGGAAGTTTTCTTCGACTTGCCATTGCTTTTTATAAAGAAGGTGTTTGAAAAATGAAAAGCTTTTCTTGCCTCTATTGGACTCGGCTGCCAAGATTTTGTGATATCTACTAAAGGCATTTTGCAAAAAGTTGCACTGGTTGTCTGTTGTCAGCTAAAAACGTTGAACTAGAAATATTTTTCGTCTTTAGAGTTTATACAGGGTGAGCCATTAGTGTGAGAAAGTAAAACGCCAAATATTACATTTTTTAAATGGAAACACCCTGTCTATTTTTAAACATATGGATTTCCGAGGTAATTCTATATATGGTAATATAAACAGTTTATCATTTAATGCGGGGTTGCCAAGTTATGTAGAAAAGAACCTGACCTCGAGGAAGTTGTACTAACTTTCAATTACTAACACTTGGAGCAAAAATATTTGACAGAGTTATAGCAAATATTAAGCAAAGACTCCTATATTAGTTAATATCGATATTTTGTACAGGGCATTTTTTATAATACGGTCATTTTAAGAAAGTTCAAACTTCCGCAATTTTCTTACAAAATATGGCCGGAATAGTGATTTAACTTTAACAGTTTAATTGAAAAAGTCAGGGTGACTGGATCAATTAGTGATCTTAAAACTTAGTCCAGTCATTCTGTACATTTGGAAAAGAAAGTGAATCGGGAAAGCCAAATGTTTTATATGTTGTGGAAGGTGCTTAGGAAAGCTTAACTTGAGATTTGAGACCAAGATTCCCTATGTGCATATTCCGCCATCTTGGAAAAAGGGGTGAAATTTAGTTTTTGCTATAACTCGGTTCCCCGTCGAGATACAGAATTGTTGTTTTGTTGTTTTTTGTTCCTCGATGATCTACAATTCAGGTCCTATAAACTTTTCACCTATTATTGTTAGTTGTTGAGATATCGAACAAAATTGATAAAAATTCAAAGATTCGATCTGGTTTTTCGGATTTTTCTTTTTTTCCTTATATTATAAAACTTGTAGCGGGTGTTTGTACGAACAATTTGGTGTCTTTGTTTTTTCTCTAGGGTGATAATTACGTGTTTTACCGCGCCGCGAAGTCGGCAAATCCGTGCGAAGTTTCGATTTGCCAACTTGAAGAAAGCTGTAGATTATGGTTTTCGCGATAACTCGGGTCTCCTTCGAGATAGAGATATGTTGTTTTGTTATTTTTTGTTTCTCTTCCGCCGATCTACAATTTAAGTCCTATAAACTTTTCATCTTGGTCTCAAATCTCAAGTTAAGCTTTTCTAAGCACCCCCACAACATATAAAAAATTTGGCTTTCCCGGTTCACTTTCTTTTCTTCTCCTTATTTTTGGACAGAATGACTGGAGCAACTCTGGCCGTCTGTCAACAAGTCGTTTAACTCAAGACATCGAAGCAGGCCGTGAGAGTGTTGCTGAGAGTCCAAGAACATCAATTCGGCACCATGGTTAATAATTGGACATTTCGAGAAGTTCTCTACAGCGTATTCTCACGAAAGATTTACATCTTCACGCTTAGAAAGTTCAATTGAACTGAAGCCTACTGACCACGCAGCGCGAAAAGAGTTTGTTAAATGGATTATGGATGCTGATTTTTCAATCATCTTCAGCGATGGGGCCCAATTTCATCTTGATGGTTTCGTTAATCAGCCAAATGGTCCCAATTAGGGTTCAGAAAATCCACGAGTGATTGTTGAGAAATACATCCACAACGTGTCACTGTTTGGTGCGGAATTTGGGCTGGAGGCATCATCGAACCATTCTTCTTCGAAAATACGGCCAATCAGCAATAACAGTTAATGGTGCTCGCTATCGCGACATGATATTCCTGGTTCTTCTGCCTAAATTGCAAAATATGGATGTAGACAGACAGAGAAACAATTCTATTACTGCAAGAGTTATGTCCTGGTCGTGTAATTGCCCGTTTTGGTGATCAGAATTGGCCGCCCAAATCATGCAATTTAACACCGTTGTACTTTATTCTTAGGGTTTTTTTGAAGTATAAGATTTATGCTAACAAGCCCATGGCGGCTCACGTCTTATGAAAATCTGGCTCCAGATGTGTGATTAATGAAGGTGAGATCAACCAGCAATCCTTATGATGCCAAATTTTACTGAAATCGGTGGATTTCAAAAAAGTACCCCCGCCATATTGGATCAGTCATCTTGAATTTTTACAATGTGAATTCATATTCGTAATCAGCGACCCAAAAAACCCCTTTATACAAAATCTGGTCAAAATTCGCTCAGAATTTGAAAATAGCGATTCCTGCTCGGTTTTTTGAGGTTAGAAAAAAAACCACACGTTCTAGCTCAATTCTGACAGTGGATTTGAATTCAGCAGAGTCTTTTACATAAAAATGTACAATTTGATGTGGAAATAAATTTTTTTCCAAATTTTCCCAGTAAATTTTCATCAATTTTCACTATTTTTCACAAGTTTTTTGAGGTTAGGAAAAAATTGTGACGTGATGGGCCAATTCTGACCCCAGGTTCGTGATCAGGAGGCCAAATTACTACGAAAAATATATGTTGCATAAAAAGTATACCCAACTTTTTTTTTCTGTGTGGCTGTGTAATTAATGACAATGAATCTTCTCTTCATCATAAATCAGTTATTTTCAAGTTTGCAGCATTAAAATTTATTGAAAAATTATATATTTTAAATATGCATTGTCTTTAATGGGTTCAACCGTTTTAACAACATATTAGTAAAAGAATGATAATACATAAATTAGAAAAAATAAATGCATTTGCAAGGATGTAAAATAAAAGATTCAATATACTGGGCAGATTTATTATTGTAGTATTCAATCAATTGTTCTCTAAATTCCGTTGGTTATCATTATCAGTTTTTAAATACGATAAATACATTAAATAATAGAACAAACAGATAAACAAACAAAAATTTAAGCATTTCACAATCATTGTTTTCTATACTTGGAATAACAATAGTGACATATTGAATGTAGATATTATCTACTTGTAGTGTTATCTGTTCTTCAAGTGTTTAAGAAAATACCTGATACAAGTGTTTCAAAAATGCAATACTTAGATGTTGCTTTTGACAAATGATTTTATTTGCTTAATTTTCAAATTACACAGTAAGTATTCATCTACAGGAATAAATAGAAAACATCCATCTTTGTATCGTACATCCAAATTCTAGCAAAGTTCAAAAAAGAATAATTATTCATTTCTGTTCTCTTTAAATTTTAAAAGGAAATAAAGTAAAAATATTTAATACTTGATATAGATTAATCTGCTCTAAGGTGACTATAACAGATTTCATTCCTTGGCTAGTAACCCACAAAAACATTAAAAATGTTGTTGCTAAGAAGCTTGTAGGATTTATTATACGTGTCGCAAGTTTTCTACTTGAGTTTGTCTTGGAAAGTTTTTAGTGGTATGAAAATGTTCTCCGCCCTTTAAAAGTTTTACATAGTTAGACACAACATTATTATTTCCGGTACTATAATAATACAGGGTGTTAATAAAATATGGTGTCAAATTGAAATCGGAGAGGAAATCTCATTTTCAAGAAAAAGCATGCATTTGAAAACGCTTAGTAAAAAAGTTACAGTGCCAAAAATGCACTACTAAGGATATATTTTTTTATGTAACTCCACTTACAACTCCGTAACTTCTAAATAATCAATAAGATGCACGAAGGACAAATTTTTAAATTATACAGGCCGACAACACGAATATACTTTCCCAAAGGATTTTCGAGCGCTGAATTCGAATCCTAACCTAAAAGTGCCAAAATCGCGATTTTTTTTTTACATATTTGAGGTTATGTTGCATGGAAAGGTAAATTTTTCGGTTGAAATCACTGATGGGGTCTTAAAGTACTATACTTACTCTTTAAAATGTACTTAGATTAATCCCGATATCATTTTTCGCTTTTGAGAAATCGCATGTTGAAAAGTAGTTTGACTTATTTCTAGATTTTTGAATCACAAACCTTATGGGTTTATGGGCTTAGAGTTTTTGGGCCTAGGGTTTATGAGTTCGGGATTGGGCGTATTAGCCTCTTTTGCATGTAGATGTATTTCCAAATTGATATAATGCGTAAAATATCGGCCATATATCGAATTTTTAGACAATTTTTTTGAAGTTTATTGCAAAATTTGACGTGATAGAGTATTTTGGAGTTCATATTCATGATCAGCGACCCCAAAAACAGGATCCCTACTTCCGGGAACCGATAAATTTAGGTTCGTGGTGCTGTGTTGTCAGTATATTAAAAATCGAGAGATAAAGTCAAACTACTAAACTTTAACATGCTATTTCTCAAAAAATGATATCGGGATAAATCAAAGAGTAAGTATAATACTTTAAGATCCCATTAATGGTTTTAATAAAAATTTGAAACATAACCTCAAATATGTCAAAAAATAGCTATTTTGGTACTTTTAGGTTAGAATATCTCGAAAACCTGAGCCAATTGAGAAATTTAGACAACGGATTCGAATTCATGAATGCACTACAGAGTACATTCAGGTTTCTGGGTTAGAAGGTCGGCCACATTTTGTCGGCCTATGTTATCGGTGGTAATAACCTAATAGGACAACAGTTTTATTCAAACTTACGGTGACGGAGAAGTAGGGAGTAAATGAGTATTGTTTTCTTAACGAAATTGTACACGGCATTTTCGGCAAAATAATAAACTTTTACACCGTTTCCTGAAAAATTAGCAATAACACAAAATTTTTATGTAGATACTTTGATGGCGCAGATTCTGAAAATTAAAAAAACTAATATTCCTTTCTAATTTTTTTATTTTAATTGCACTCACAAAATAATAGTTGCCGACCGCTGCAATTATAGTAGGGGAAAGTGGTTAAGAACATTACCTGAGGTTAAAATCTATTAATTATAGACTATGCATTTTTTTATTAGGTTTAAAATTTCAGTAGGCCTCAAATACAGCGTTAAAATCATCCAAAACCATCAATTTTTTCTTTAAACTACTTTTTTATTTTAATTACAAAACCACACAAAAAAAATTTGTCTGTACTTTTCATGCGACATACGTTATCCGTAGTATTTTTTCCTCCTGATCATGAATCCGGTGTCAGAATTGAGCTATCACATCACAGAAATTTCCTAACCTCAAAAAATAGGTCAAAAATAGCAAAAATTCACGAAAAAGTGC